CCATCCATCCATCCATCCATCCATCCATCCATCCATCCATCCATCCATCCAGCCAGCCAGCCAGCTAACCAGCCAGCCAGCAAGCCAGCAAACCAGGTAACCAGCCAGCCAGCCAGTCAACCAACCAGCTAGCCAGCCAGTCAGCCAACCAGTCAGCCAACCAACCAGCCAGCCAGCCAGCCAGCCAGCCATCCAGTTGGCCAACCAACCAACCAACTAACCAACCTCTTTTAGAAGTCTTAGAATTCAACAAAACGTTAATCTCAGCTTAATGAATGAAGTGCTAGAAAAATGAAGTCCTAATAGAATTATTCAAGTTGTTACCTTGACAAATACCTATACTATTTAAAGCAGTGTAGTGACTTTCCACTGAACAAAAACATCTGGGATACATGCGACAGTTTTTGTAAGTCTTAAAATACATGTAGGGCTCATACTTGTTTCTGGGATAGAACTTGGGAAGAGTTCTGGTTCATTTGTTGGTGCTGGGTTCTCCTCAAATGCAGTACTTCCAGGCTCTACTGGTTTGTGGTTCTGAGATTGGCCAAAACCTTCGTAGTGACCAGCTTGGGTGGTACGGTTCATGCACATGAGTGACACCCCAGCTATGAGAATGCTGCAGAACAGGATGACTGCCGTGGTGATCATCTGTCAGCATCAGAAAAAGATGTTAGGCCAGTCTTCAAAATCTCGTCTTAATAATCTTAGTACACTCAGTTTAAGAACACTTTTGGGGGGAGGGGCTGGAAAGATGGCTCAGTAGTTAAGAGCACTGGCTATTCTTCCAGAAGACCTGGATTCAATTCCCAGCACCCATATGCAGCTCATACCTGCCTATAACTTCAGTTCCAGGGGGTCTGACACCCTCACATACATAGACATACATACAGGCAAAACACCAAAATAAAATAAATAAGTCATTAAAAAAATCTTAAAAACTTTTTTTGATAGAAAATATATCTGTATAGCTTTAAATACTCTATAGAACAATGTTTCTTCCAAATGGGTAGTAGTATGGAGGGATGTGATTTACTTATAAGGAAATTATGGTTTGCCTTTAATCATACAAGTTTCTTAGATGTCTCCTTGTACGGCAAGTGGTTAATAATAAAGTCATTGGTTTCCTTTAAGTAACCAAATGCTTTTTTTACAGACCCTTTCTTACTTTTAAATGTTGCATGTAGTTCAACCATACTTCAGTGACTAGAAGCTTTCTTATAGTAATGATTGTAAAAGGTGTAGCCAATAGTGATGAGTACCAGCTGGATGTACTCATATAAAAGTCCTTTTTAAATATAATCTTGTTTATTCTCACAAAACTGAGTTACACTCAGAATTGTAAAACAAAAGGTAAGAATTCAAAATCCTCAGTGGAGGTTTTTTTTACAAACATACGCCCACAGGTCCTACCCAGGAAGAATCCAGCAGGTTCCACAGGCCTCCTGGCCTCTAACTTCTCAAGCACACTGTCCTCAGATACACTTGGTTTGTTCTGGAATTCCTCCCATAAGAGCAACATATTTAACATTTACTATGACTGCTAAACCGGACCTGAAGAGACGGCTCAGCGGTTAGGAGCACAGACTGTTCCTGCAGAGTAACCGGGTTCAATTCCCAGCACCCACGTGGCAGCTCAGCAACTGTCTATAACTCCAGCTCCAGGGGATCTGACACCCCCACATACATGTAGCCTAAACACCAATGCACATAAAATAAAAATAAATCATTTAAAAAGGGAGTAACATAGTTGTCATTTGTTATTACTGCTAGGTTATTTACTTTTTTTTTCCTTCAGCAGAGGGAATATAGTTCATAAATGTATCCTAAGAAAAATAAATTAAGGGGCTAGAGAGATAGCTCATCAGTGAAGAATACTTTCTGCTCTTACAGAGGGCCTGGAGGCACTGGATTCCCAGAACCCAAATGACAGCTCAGAACAGTCTGTAACTCCGGTTCCAGAAGATTCAACTCCCTCTGCTGGCTTCTACAGCTCCAACACATACATCGTTCCCACACATACATTCAGGCAAAACACGCGTACACAAGATAAAAATAAATAAATCTTAATAAAAGAAAATAACCTGGTTGTAAGCATTTAGAAATCTTCAGGTTAAAAAACTGTTTCTATCCTGAGGTGTGAAAAGGTTATATAAAATCACCAATGTCCGTCCTAGATAATCAATTAAAATATATTTTTAATTCAATTTTAATATCAAGGTACATAAGCTAACTAAGATGTGACATTCTCAAGAAGAAACTGCCAATGAACTCTTCTCACCTGCTCTTTTCCATAAAAGAAAGCTGAGTCAATGCTGTCTCCATTGTGTTTCCCAGTTATCAGAAGCACGCCCACGAGGAGAGCAGGGATTCTGTAAGCAGGACCATTGGAAAGAAAGAGTGAGCCAACTGAAGCTGTGTATGGTCACTCAGAAGCAGACAGAAGCTGGCCACTTACCCCCAGCCAGATATGATGATGATTCCCACGGGGAGCTGTACACCCTCACGCTTCTTTAAAAGAAACAAAGAAACTGCTAGAAGGCCTAGAAACAAGACACAAAGATTATAAAGGAGATGATGACTCTTATTCTTGGCATTGAGCGGAAGCTGCAACACTTTACTCTGTGAGAGATCCTGACTTTGGTACCCCGGTGCTCCAGTTCTCATTTGCTTTGGTGACTTTGTTTGGCTGGTTTTTGAGTGGCCCGGCTACCCTGATGCCCTCCCTCCACTTCCCAACTCCCAGAGTTACAAGTGTGCACCACCATGCTTTTAAATTTCCCTCCTTACAGATCAATGTTGTTTGAAGCAATTTTTCTATTAAAAATCATTTGTGTTTTCTTTCCTAGAATCGTTTCTTTACTCAAATCTTCATTTTACTGAAAGATTTCTTTTTAAAAGCCACAGTGGCTTGTTGTTGTCATTAGTTTTTTTCCACTTATGTGATTAGAATCTAAGTAGCATTTGCAGTTCAGGTTATACAGGTGATTCCGTGTTGTTGGTGCTAAGAAGTATAAATATTTTTTACCCTAGACTAGGTTTTGGAAAATGCCTCACATGTAGGGCTGAAGTGTCATAAAAATATGATACACACTTAATACGAATGTGGCACAAACCTAATACAGAATAAATATTTCAAGTTTTTGTTGTTTTGTTTCTGAGAATAGGGTCCCATGTAGCCAAGCTGTCCTTAAACTCTTGATTCTCTTGCCTAAGCCCTCTGGATACTGAAATGATAGTCATGCTCCACCACATCCAGCTTGTTTCAATGAACTTTCCTCATGCATGACGGTCATTTATACATATGGCACTTAGTAAGTTCCTCTGGGCTACAGAGTCTGAGTACTTCAGGAAGAAGGAACATCTATTTCAAATGAACACTTTAATTCTGTAGATATGGAGGGAACGAGGGCTTGCTGAGTGGCACAGCAGGGGCAGAGTGGTATAGAGAGCTGGCCTTTTGAGGAACATGAGGTAAAGCTCTGAAACTGTCTTGGGGTTCACATGAGGTACTCTTCAGATCTGTAATGATTTGTCTATAAGAAACTTTCAGTCTTTTGGGGATGTCTTCAATGATATGGTGGACCTCTGTGTCCACCATATAATTAAGTAGCCCTGTTCTTCAGAACTTAGATTCCGATTTATAGATTAAGTTTGATCCGAGTAAAGGCCACGTGATGTTATGAATGAAGACTCTCTAGCAGTCTGAAGAAAGGGAGTGAGATAACCAGCTCATTACCCTGCATGTGGAAGTAACTGGCGCTAACCCTAAAAAACAAAAAAAGAAAGCAAGCATACAACCAGCGAGGGGAGTGCCCACGTACATTTCAATCTGTGAGCTACCTTGGCAAAATAAGAGCCTTCCTTGAAATTAACACTTTAAGTTAGAATTAACTTAAATGGGCACTGATAACTAACATTTTCAACAAGAATTAACATGAACAGATGCTGAGGTCCTTGAGAAGGGTTTGGTTCTCTGATTCTCTGATTCTTCCTACTCTGTGAAGAACTGCAGCTATCAGACGATGCCTGTCTGGCATCCCTTGCAGAGATTGCTGGGAAGATCTGCTTGAGTCAGTTCACCTCTTTGGCCTTGCGTTCATAATTTGCAAAACGAAATATTCAAACTGGACCAGCACAAAAGTGGAGAAAATGACCATCCAAACATTTAATGTATAGTTGAACTTGTTTAATTAGCACATAAAGCTTGGGGCTTTACTGATGTAGGACTTAGCTCAAGTGTTAACAAGCAGTAGGTTTCAAAGGAAGAACACAGCAGTCAGCTATGCAGGAGGGCGGAAACGGTGAAGATAATTTATAAACCAATCTGAAAATGACTGGACATAAGATTTTCAAACACACCGAATGGCTCTATAATTTTGTCTTTTTTTGGTTGTGAGCCTAGCCTTGAACAAGTGAGCCATAAAATTGTGCTGTATTTATAATAACCTGATGATCACAGGCCACCTTCACTACACCAGTAAATTCCCAAGTTCTTTAGCTAGATCTCAGCACGTGTGTTTGAAGGTTTCGGAGATAGCTGGAGCTTTTTGACAGACGGATCTATTTGCTATTCTATTACTCTCATGACAAATCCCACCTGAATAAACGTAGGTACTAGAGATCAGTTTGGGCCACCTATATTTGGAGTCTACAGTCTCTAGGATCTTTTAACTTGACATTTTATGACAAGCCTCATGCTATGACAGGTATACTTGCTCAAAGAAGCACAAGCCATCTTCTGTTGGCTGTGAATTTGTCATGTTGAGAGCCCTCCCCCAAGCACTGCTTCACTTCAAAAGGCTTAGACAGGACACACGTTTGATCCTTAGGGCATGAAATCAAAGGTCTTCCCCCGACAGTCACTTCCTGACCCTTGCTTATTAACCACTGTACAATGTCAATTCTGGTAGCATTTTACAAGTTTGTGGTATGAACACAACATCCAGACAGTACTTTTCACAAACATACCAGAATGTCTGCTTCTAAACAAAAATCTAATTTCAAAACAGTAATGTTAAGTATTTTGTCATCCTTTCTGAAGTCAATTGAAAGAGTATTCTTTCTCATTGGTTCCTCTAATTTTACATTAAAAATTTATTTTACTTTATCTATAGGAGCTTGCTTGCATGTATATCTGTGCACCACGTGCATCACTGGTGCCTATGGCAGCCAGTAAAGAGCTTTGGATCCCAGGGAACTGGAGTTACAGATGGTTGTGAGCCTCCATGTGGGTGCTGGAAATCAAACCTCAGTCCTTAAGGAGCAGTCAGTGCTCTTAACCATGGAGTCATTTCTCCAGCCTGCCACATCTTCTTTCTTACTTTTCTTGTTTTTATATTGCCTCTTGCCCTCTACTGAATGACTGATAGATTTATATTTATTGAGTGTCTGTTATGTACCAGATATAAATATCCATACTTCATTTCATCCTCAGAATATCTCTGTAATGTGCTGCAAGCCAGCTTCAGAAGTAATGAAACAGGTAACCCGAAGGTAATTAATTTGTATGAGGTAAAAACCCACAGTTTGCAGTTCCATAGGATCCCGGCAGTGAGCTCTGAGACACACCTCTCCTGCCCTTTTCCACCTGCTGCTTCCAAGGGGGAACTAGGCTGACACTGGCCTAAAGCTAATGAGGGCTCTGAGCTGGGCAGAAATAGTGTACTCAGCAGATAATCCAGCCTTGCAGATACTCGTGTGTATGTGTGTGTGTATGTGTGTGTGTGTGTGTGTGTGCATGCATGCATGTGTGTGTGTGTCCTGTGCTAACAGATTTCAAATGGACCAGTAGATGCTGGGGTCTTTAGAGGGGAGGAGGGGGCAGACTTTAACAGTCCTTTCATGAGCCAACTTACCTGTCCATAGATAGGTGCTGTACAGGGAGCTGTACAATAGAACAAACACCAAAATTTGTCCAACAAAATTTTTTTCTTTTACAAAATTCCATATCACCATTCCAGCACAAACAATAGTCTAAAGAAAAATTATTAAAAGATTTTATAAGTAGTTAAAAGTAAATCATATGACTTAATACCGTAACAAAGAAACTATTAACCTAATCATACCCATTAAGGTTTTCATCACAGAAAATAATCATTCTTTTAAAATTATTGCTCATTATCAACTATTTATTGGTTTTACTAAAATTTCAGGCTTTATGATTAAAAACCTGTCTTCCATAGAGCCTTCAATGATATATATATTAAGTAAAAATAAAGACTATACTCTAAATTCTAGCCTTATATTGTAATGATTTACATAGACAATGTTAAACCTCTTTCCATTACAACTGCATGAAAAGACCTAACTGGAAAGTAAAGTTACGAGTTCTCTTTGTGTTACTGTTTCAGTCTCTGAGACAGTCTTACTTCGTAGCTCAGGCTGATGTCGCTTATGGCCATATTCTTGCTTCAGCCTCTCAAATACTCAGAATTATAAGTGGGAGTCACCACACCCAGGTAAGAGTTCAATTTCTTTCTTTCTTTCTTTTTTTTTTTTTTTGAGACAGGGTTTCTCTGTGTAGCCCTGGCTGTCCTGGAACTCACTCTGTAGACCAGGCTGGCCTCTGCCTCCCAAGTGTTGGGATTAAAGGCGTGCGCCACCACTGCCTGGCAAGAGTTCAATTTCTTTTTTTTTTTTTGGTTTTTCGAGACAGGGTTTCTCTGTGTAGCCTGGCTGTCCTGGAACTCACTCTGTAGACCAGGCTGGCCTCGAACTCAGAAATCCACCTGCCTCTGCCTCCCAAGTGCTGGGATTAAAGGCGTGCGCCACCACCGCCCGGCAAGAGTTCAATTTCTAATGATTCACTTGTTTGAATTTTAAAAATGCGAAGTTGTTACTGATTGCCATTATTAATCTCAAAATTTAAGACATGCTGTAATATTTAATATATAAGCACAAATAAATTCTAAATAAATTATAATTGATCATATCTCCTAATAATTTTGATTTTGTTACTGAAAGAAATTACAACAAAGCAATTGTTCCTCATATAGTACAGTAACCCTGGGAGAAGGTGTTGCTGTAGCTCTCCGCAGGCATACTCTCCGCAGGCATACTCACCTGAGCAATGAGTAAATTAGCTGTAAGCATATGAGGGAGCTGCTTATATTTCTTACTCAAGAGAAGAACAGACAGAGACCAGATCTTGAAGAGAAAAGGTTCAAGTTATTTTTCTCAATCTTTATAGTTACTTATTAAATACAACATCAAAAATCTTTTTTATTGTGGAATGGGATTGAACCCACAGCCTTATATATGACAGACAAACACTCAGCCCCTGGCTACATCCTAGCCCCTGGCTCTCTTGAGACAGGACCTTGCTGTATCACTTAGGTTTGCACTGAACTCCTGATCCTCCTGTCTCAGCCTCCCAGTGCTTATGGTAACAGGTGTGTGCCATAAAGCCCGTTCCCATGATTAATATTTTTAGAGAATACCCTTTATCCTTGTCCCAGAAGAAATGTTAATCTTCATTGAACTTGAAGATTGTTAATATAAATTATTGTATCCACAGCAATAAAAGGCATGGGGAGATCCCATGGTTAACAAATTAGTTCTTTAAGAATTAATGGCTTAATTTGGGCCATATTCGAAGTATGCTTACTTATAGTGGCTGGGATAGGACACAATGTCACAACCAATTATTTAGGAAAGAATGTTTTAAATTTTTTCCCTTTCTGATTTCTATGATACTAGCTCCTGAGGAGCCTAAATCCCAGGTGGTCTTGTTTCAAACAACACATACCTCCCACACCAAGGGTAACCTTGTATTCCTAGTGTTTTAAAGGATTGGGTTCCTCCTCTTTCTCTTCCTCCTTCTTTTTCTCTTTCTCCTCCTCTTCCTCCTACTCCTCCTTTTTTTCTTCCTCCTCCTTTCTTTTCTGGCTAGTACCCAGAACCTATGGACTCATGAATGCTAAGCACATGTTCTACAGCTAAGCAACACCCCAGGACAAGGATTGCATTTCTATTCCACCTTTATAGTGCCCAGAAAGTATACTGGTTAATTTTCTTCTTTTTCTTAATTGCCAGTAGAAGTTGACAAACTACCTCATTATCAAAGAACATAGATTTGTTAGAACATGTGACAGATACGAGTTTTTAAAAATCTTATTAATTATTCATTTATTTATTATTAGTATATGTACCCATTCCTTAAAACATTGTTTTTATCTAATCTAGAGTTCTGACTGAATTCAGCAGGCAATCTGATTGATGTGGATACAATAGCTGTTAAAAATATATACATTTGAGGTAGCAAGATCAAGTTTGAAAATGTATATGAAGTTTCACTTAAATAAACAGTGATCCCAAAGAGCTTTGTTGATCCTATAGTGCTAGAGTAGCTAGTTATTTGTACGGTGATTATTATTCATAGAAGACTTATCTCATTGTCTCAAACCTTAAAACAATCCATAGAACTAGGTGGAATGATTATCTTTGTAGCTAAGAAAGCTAAGCTTACGAGAGGTTAAGTAACTCCAAAGATATACACAGATAAACTGCAATAGGGCAAAGAATCAAATCCAAGTTCGGCTGAGTCTCACATCTTGCCCACTATACAGCTCAAAACTCCTGATTGGAAAGACATACTTAGTTAATTACAAAGTTGAGATTACATTTTTTTTTCAGATAGGCTTTGCTTCTCTATTTTGTTAAATAAATAGTTTTTTTAAAAAAGTAATTTGCTATTAGTAGTTCCTTTCAAACTTATTTTGTGGTTTTCATTCAATTTGACACTGAAACATACTTACCAAGGAGACCAGGCTGATAATACTTATATCAAAACTAACATTCTGAATGGCATATGCCAATGGCTTAGCATCCATGGTAGGAAAGGTTAATAGCCAGGCAGAAACATACATGATTGGAGCAGACACAAATGTACTTATTACCATTCCTGAGGTTATCTGCAAAAATGAGATCAAATTAAGAAGTCATAATCTTACTTAAACAATTGCTTAAAAACTTAAACACCCATAGTACACTAATGCATTTTAAACTGAAAATGAAAACCAGTAAAGACATAGAGCCCAGCATATTATATGATACATTTCTCCTGTATAAGAGAGTGCTCTGTTGACCCCTCTTTCTAATCTAGATTCAAATGATGTTTCCATATAAAAATATTACAAATTCTGTTGTTGATGATTTAGGTTCTAGGAAAAGAACCCGTCCAAATGGTCTAATTAAATCTATGAATGTTTTTCTCCCATACTACTTCACAAACTATGGGGGAGGGGATCAGTTAACAGAAAATAATTACCAAACACGGTATAGATCAATTAATGAAACTGTCCCTTATTATTTTCAGAACCCCCTAACACTGTGTATGCCATGTACAATATACATAGGTACTGTTTATATACCAATTTTCTCAATTTATTGTGGGATATTTTCTTATGCTGATTGAATTATAAGAAATGAAATAGATTTTTTCCCCTAAAAATTTTGAAAGTTATGCCTCCATAAATAACTTTAAAGCTTAAGTTTAAGTACTTGAAACAAAACAAAATAAAGGCTAACAAAAAAAACAAACCCACAGGTTTAAAAAAAATAGAAGAAAACATGTAACTAAGGTTCCCATATTAAATAACTGTGGCTGTATAACATTACAAAGCACCTCCTTATTTACAGTGAGACAGCTTAGGAATCGCAAGTTCTCGCTAAAAGAATGTTGCTTTCTGTGTTTTACAACTTCAGTTTTCTCTTCAGCACAGAAACCACCCAACTTCGAGAACACCGGTGCATACATACAATCTCCACTTCCATGTTGAACTGTGTAGCAAAGATCGCCACTCCTGGAGCCACAGGGAAGACGCCATATAGAAATGCATAGTTTGACAGACTTGTATGGTTCACTACGCTGGTACCCTTGTCCAGGAGTTCCACCATTTCTCTGCACAGAAGGGGCAGCACCAGGCTGGAGACAGAAGAGATGCAGAATGTACTTAACACCAATGCCTGTCTGTCCCTGCTTGTAGCTGCACTGCTGAATTTGGAATTATGTTACTATTGTTCTCCTCCCCAGAAGGCATATGCATTTCCATGCATATATTTTATTGCTGCTGGACATTTTGCTGAAAGTTAAGAATTTAGCTAGGAGCCATTTCAAGAACAGTATCCTGGAATATTTTCAAACATTAGGGAACACAAAGGGGAAAAGGGATTTTTACAAAATTTTCTTACAAAAAAAAAATAAGTGTCATAATTATAGCTGCTTTCTTGCTTCCTCTGTTGGTTAATTGAAATGTTAGATGGAAAAAAAAGTTGAAAATCTTAGTAACTTATTTCAAGAATATTTCTAAACTTTTTTGCAAAAACAGCTGAACTTTGTGATTAAGGGTTTAAATGGTTCAATTAATGATAACAATGCAGCACAATAAGATTCTAAAAAGCAGTCGAAACTAGGCATCTTAATAATTAGTTCTTCCTATCGGTAAATAAAGATAGATTTAGCAAAGGGAACTGAAACAACTGTGGGGAGCAGAGAAACAAAGGGAAGCCAGATCTGGTGAGCAGTCTATTATTAGAGTCTCCACTGTTCTGTAGAAAAAACGTAGCACAGTCACTAAGCTAACAGGCTCGCTGATACATTGTCACAGCAGTGCCTAGTGAGAGAGGTACAGTGTGATTATGAATGGTCTACATGTGCACAGGTGTGCCTGTGGAGGCCAAAGATAGACATGGGATGTTTTCGTCAGTTGCTTTCCACTTTATTTTTTGAGACAAGGTCCCTCACTGAACCTGTAGTTCACCGCTTTAGCTAGACTGACTGGCTGACCAGGAAGCCCCAAGGAATCTCCATCCTCTCAGTGCTGGAATTACAGGCATGTGATGGCTGGTTTTTTACATGCCTGCTGCAGAACCAAACTCATGTCCTCACACGTGTGCAACAAGCGCTTTACAGACGGAACCACCTCCCTAGTCCTAAGTTACCCTTAGATGTCTGTTATAATAGATAGTTCATGAGGCAGAGGCATTGTAAATCCTTCTCATAAATTTATATACTGTATGTATATATGTCTTTTATGTGTGTGGGTGTATTACTCTGCGTGTATTTCTGTGTATCGTGTGCATGTAGTGCCCACTGAGGCCAGAAGAGGGAGTTGAATTTCCCACCCCGCCACCCCCCCCCCACTTCCCTACCCCATCCCCCAGACTAGAGTTAGCTGCTATTTGGGTCCTGGAACTCAAACCCTGGTTGTCCGAAAGTAGAGTTAATACTGAGCCATCTCTACAATCCCCCTTTTTAATTTAAATAAAAAAGAATCAAATATCTAAAAAGAATAAAAGACCTTTAAAATTTTTAAGTAGCATTGAAATTACAACATTAACATTATTGAAACAACATTACAGTGGAAATACTAACTCATACACTCTAAAGAACATATTACCACCAAAACTATTTTTGGAACTACTCATTTTTACTTATTTTGGAAATATAAATGTATAACATTGTCCTGGTCCCAGGAATTTAACTCTTACGTAAGAGTTGAATTGCACATTTAAGCATGCCCTAAGTACTTTGGGTAATAATGCAGTAAAATTATGTCAGCTCCATGGCTGACAAGCCAATAAGCTTAAGAACTATTAACTAAAAATTATTTCCACTATGTTATCCCAATAATGATAATATTCTAAAAATGTTTATATTGACTTACCTATATTTAGAACATTCAACCAAACTCATGGTCACTGAATAATTCCCAAATTCTTAAAAAATAGTATATAATAAAAATTATTATACTTAAACAAAAAGATGTATTTACTTTATGACTTTTAATGGACATAGAAATTTTGTAAAATTTATTTTAAAAATATAATCTAGGGATGTAGGATAGTTCAATAGTAGAACCGTTACCTAGCTTGTAGAAGGCCCTGGATTTGATGCCCAGAAGCATAAAAACTAAGTATGATTTACTGAGGTCTTGAAAATATTAGGTAAACTTTACACAAAAGCTGAATGGGAAAAAAAGCCTGAAGAAAAAAAACAATAATCTTTATATTCTGACAGTAAAGTAGAAAAAATAACCTACATGGCATAGTAAGAAAATAATTTTTAATAATACCCAAATAGCCCATTTTCCCTTAAATCACAACAACTATATAACCAAGGATTAATATTTAAAGGAAAAATATGTGCCATACGACACAACGGCTTGGTTGACTAGGCTTTTCATTCTCAAACTAAAATTCCCAAATTAAGTAAGAGAAGCTCACAGTTTGGCTGTGATGAGGAGAATAAGAACCACAAACGCTGACTTCTTCAGTCGCTTGATTTTTCCTACCATGGTCAGACCAAGATAAAACAGGGCTGATCCAGAGAAGGAATTTGCAAGCCCATCCAGAAAGTTTTCCATATATACAGGGATCTTCTTATCAAGGATAAAATTGAAGGCGATGCCAACAAAGACCATAAATACTATTGGGTTCTGTAACACACGTAGAAATCCAAGTCCCACGATTTTTGCTTTATTTTGAGAAGCATTTTGAGTGTCTTTTGACTTCTGGATTTCACAGAAGATAAACCCTATAGGGTTTAGCATCATAAGAGATATTGGTGCCACCAAATAAATGTACTGGAGATATTCTGGGTATGTAGTTTGGTACAGAGCTTCAACTGTAAAACAAGAATATTGGTTTTAAAATGTTACCACAGATTATAGGAATATATGTATTTAACATTTTCTTGTTTGTATCATTGAAAATTAGTCTAAATAGTGACAAATAACCCACTCAATTATTTTTAGAAAGGCAAATTTTAGTAATAAAACTGACGAGGAAGAAACACTAGATTAAGTACCATTCAGTTTATAAAATAACATTCAATTTTAAATTATTTTTATTAAACTCATAACTATTTTCCCCAGACAGAAGCTTAAAGATGAACCTCAAAGAAAAGGTAAGAGCTGTAAAATTTTTAAAAGAGCAATTCAAAGTAGAAATCTATATATGTAGTGGTAGCAACAAGACATCTGTTTGATCTCATGGAGAGAGCAGCTGTGTGGTGAGGCAGGAGTCAGACAGCAGCAGATCAGGGAGAGCAGAGTCAGGAACTAGAGCAGCAGGGCAGTGATGGAGGTGGTCTACACTCTACAGGCAAAGATGCAGAGACGTGAAACAGCTGACGGGAGGTGGGTCAGGGACATAGGAACTAAGTCCAGGAGTTTCTAGTCAGATTGTGAGCTGTCAAGTTTCTATTTTCCAGATGTGATCTAGGATGTGGCCATGTGAACTGGCAGCTGACAGGGAGGAAAGACTCACGGGAGATGAGGAGGCCAGGGAACTGAGAGGGCAGAGAATTCAGTGGGTAGCCGAGGGGGACGGTACCTCAAGTAAGCAGGCAGAACTTCATAAGGAAGATGAGAGTCAGATAGTAAAGTGTGATGGAGGAACTGGCTAGCATGGAGGAGTGCCCAAGCCAGACAACAGAAACTTTAATAGTTGTCAGCAGGAAGGCAGAGAGTAACGTTCTACTACAGTACCAGGTAGCTATAAGGAAAAAGGCTCCAGTCGTACCTACCCTTCCTTATGGGGCACATCAGCTATGAGGAAAATGAAAGCAAAAAATGCTTCCAGACAAGCCCAGAGAAGGAGAGGAGGCTGGAGCTGGGAAGTGTTTGAGAGGGGAACAGCAGGCAGTCACACACTATGTATCTAACTCTTGCAAATGTAACTACTCATTCCTAAGAAAACAAAAGCATCGTTTTTGTTTCCTCCACGTGTCCCCAAAGAGCCTGCTACTTACTGAAGGATGATGATCTGGAAGTGTGAGATGTACAAGAAATGGCACATGGCGGAGCACGCCTGCTACAGTTTGTGGGTGATTCAAAAGGCCTTCGGGGGTTTAAGAAGAACTTGAGTAAGCCAGAAGAGGGAAGTGAGTAAGTGCTGGGATCACAGGTCTAGCAGTTCTAGAAGGTGAAGAGCGAGGGACTGGCCTGCGGTGGAGCAAGGCAACGTTTATAAAGCTGCCGAGTACACAATTTCATCTTCTTGTTGGACACAGAGCTTGAGCCTCTCCAGCTGGAAGCTCATTCATAATGGATATGAGGTTGAGAAACAAAGATAAAAAGAACCATTTGCCCATGGATGGAGGCAATCATGTGAAAATAACATAGATCGAGTTTCTTAATTTACATTAAGATAAAGTGACACAGGTCAGGAAATATTTGTTTACCTACTCGAGATTCAGTTAATGTCAGACACATGTCCTGTTAGAGTTATGTAATCAATTATATAACCTCAGACCTTCACCTTGATCTCGTTAGCTACTCTTACTTTTTATAAGATTCAAATCATTTTTTTCCTCTCTCAGCTAAGCACACACAAGTCTTCAATATTTCTAAGACGGAGCAGAAGTTAAACTCATGGAATTGCATAAAACTTCATCAGTTCTCTTCACTGATTTTAAGTTAGGCGTGTTGGCTTTATGACTCGGTGGCTATATTTCCTGTTTTCTGGTGCTTTACTTGCTTAAGTAAAAAGCATCTTGGTAATCATTCTTAGGTAGGCCGGGCGGTGGTGGCGCATGCCTTTAATCCCACCACTTGGGAAGCGGAGGCAGGCGGATTTCTGAGTTCCAGAGTTCGAGGCTGGCCTGGTCTACAGAGTGAGTTCCAGGACAGCCAGGGCTACAAAGAGAAACCCTGTCTCGAAAAACAAAAACAAAAATCATTCTTAGGTAGCTACATTTCTTCCTTGGTATCACATCTCTAGGAAAAGGGGTCTGTGTCTTCCCACCACTTAAGTTTTCTGAGTGTCTACTTGGGAATGCCTTGTGGTTTTAGTCTGGTTTGCAGAATTTTTCCTAAGTGGCCATAACGCAATGCCAAGGTGTTTTCTGTGGCAACTGCCACTCTCTGCTATTGTTATGTTAGGCAGCCATCAAATGCAGCAGCACTCCCTCCCCGGCTTTGCCTTCCTACAAGCCCAGTTACCCAGGCGTAGCAACAACAGTAAGCAGCATGCAGTGTGGCAGCTTGAAATAAAAGGACAGAGACCGCGACCCATGTCATGCTTTACAGTATACTACTGTTCTGTCTTACTAGGTTTTTTTGTGAAGCTCTTATGTATCTAACATACACATTAGACTTGATTATAGGTATAAAATAAGCTATATTGTATATATAATACATATGTATATATAATGAAGAACCTCATCACTTGGATGCTGAGGCAAGAGCTGCTGCTGGGAGTTTAAGGCCTACAATATATAGGACTCAGAAGGAAGATCTTGAAACATGCTCCTGTCAGATATGGAAGACTACTATCCTTCTGTTCTTTCAGAGTCGTTTGCATTTTCTCCTCTTGGTTCTTATAGGTTAGTCTGAAAATTAGGTGACTCAGTGTATCTACTAACCAGTGTTCTTGTTTCCTCACCTTCCCTTCTCAACCACATTAACTCCAAAGAGTACCATCTATATCACAACTCTTCAAAGTCAAAACTTTGAGAAACTAATACCTTTCTATAGCTTCCGTCATCACTGGAACAGCCCTTGTGGCTTTCTTTTAACGAGCGCAGCCAGTCCTCGTAAGTATCCTCTTATTTATCCAACACATCTTTTACTGCTCCATTATGCGAAGACTCCATCTGCCAGATCCATAGCACAGGCACAGCAGACGAACGCTACATTCATAACCATAAGCTCCACTTGCTGATCATGCCTTCACTCTCTGACTTCTTGAAATTATTTCTTGAAACTTGCCTATGAGTTGAGGCTAGTCTCTTGTGGACTCCTCCTACCAAGTCTTCAACCTACACCGTTAAATCTCACCCTTTCTGGATATCTATGATACTACTCTGTTTAGTATCCATGCCACCTCAAAGAATTGAAGGAATCATTTTATAATCCACAGACTCCACTCAGCACCGTGATGAACAAATCTGATGGACAGGGTTAACTGATGAGTGCTAAGGGCTTCAGATATAATAAAAATGCATTTTGCATCATATAGTAACGTATATCTGCTATTGGTTAACCTCTTTTGGGATTCATATTTTATTTAAAAAATTATCACCTTAGTTGGCCTTTTTTGATGTGTGCGTGCGTGTGTGTGTGTGTGTGTGTGTGTACATCTTCATGTCTTTACACATGTGTACATATGTGTATGGAGGTTAGAGGTGATGCCGAGTGTCTTTCTCAATCACTGCCCACTGTACCCTTTTAAACAAGGTCTCTCTTTGAACCCAGAGCTCACTGATTCCACTAGACTGGCTAACCAGTAACCTCCAGGGATCTTTGTCTCTACCTCCCCAGCACTAGAATTTTACGTTCACACCGGGCTCATGCTTACAAAGCAAGCACTTCGCCAACTGAGCTGTCACCCTAGTTCCTTATTTTGTTGTTTGATACAGAATCTCACACTGTAGCTGATGCTGGCTTTGAACTCCCAACACTCCTCTTGCTTCAGCCTCCTGAATAATGAGATTACCAATTCATTTTAAATTGGCAGATGAAAATGATATGTGTTATATAATACACATCATTCTGAAATTTATCCATTTTGGAATGGTTAAATTAAGCTCACTGGCATACATATTTTCTTATATAATTCTTTATGACGTGAATACTTACATTGTTATTAACTGTATTCACTATGTGTACAATAGTTCTCTTGAACTCATTCCTCCTATCCAACTGAAATTCATTTTTTTCCTTTTTATACATTGTGAATATTTATAATGCAGGTTACAATTAGAGCCTTTTAACTCAGCTGAATGAATGCATAAGGGCAAAAGAAGTAATGTCTACTGGGAGAGAAAATAATTGTGATTAAATAAATACTTATTAAATTCCTAGAGAAAAGGGTTCAACATGGGAATTTTAGTCTCTTTTGCCTCTCGTTTCCATAATTACTTAACATTCCATCCTTATAAACCAGCAGCGCTTCCCTTTGTTAGCAACCTGAAGACAATCTTTCCAGTCAGAAAGGGAAAGGCCCATGAATACAGTGACCTATAGCAACTAAAATTAGATTTATAATCACGACATCAACTATTAGGTCCTAATTAATTAATGATTATAAATAAGGCTCTTAGAGGGAGGGGGAATCCCATTATGAGGAGTTATTATATAGCTTGGAAGAACTAAGATAAAATTAGCCACCCGCTGTGTCTCCCATTTTGATTTCTGCAGGGTTTCAATCTCTAGCAAATAACACAAAGACCCTGACAAGATCATTCCATTATTTAGTGGCATATAGTTAAAGGCTTCATCTCCTTTCTGTTTACAGCTTGAGCACTGGAGCATAATTATGATTAGTCAGGGTACTTATGCTATCAGCATTGTTTGAAGAATAAATTATAGGACTTAACTATGCCCTATTAGTATATTTTAATGACAGAGGCAGGGAGGCCATTCTGATCTGCTGACTTCGGCATTTTATCTTAGTAGATTCTTGGCTTCTCCTCATACCTGGATTTTTAAAAGTACCTTTGGAAAGAATTGTCCTAAAAGACAGTATATTCTTTTTAGTCTGTAATCCATTTGACTTTGATGTAAAAACTACACAGTAATGTAGCACTGTTTATTTTCTATATACCATAGTCACAGTATACAGAAAAGATATATAGCCATCTTTTTTCTTTATTCACTAACTTATCTGTCATCTCTCCATGACAGCATTTCCCAAGTCACCTGTAAATTGGGAAGATGAGGAGTCAATGCAGCATTAAGAAGGATTTTTCTTCTAATTCCTTATCAATACTCTTTTATGAATGAGACAGTGGGAATTCCTAGGAGAGGTTATAAAACAAAGTGAGAGAAAGGCCTCTCTGACGACTGTCTCCTCGGTTCACCACGAGCAGAGTGGAAGACAGATGGACACAGACAGTATTAACGAATATCCCATTAGGGAGAAGACACTTCGCAGAGTGCTCTGTAGAACGTCTTCCATTTTACAAGCAGAGGAAAAAGCTGTCTATATGACTGGCTTTTAATAAAGCGATAGTCCACAGCCTGATGTTACAAGAGTTATTATCTGTGAGTAATACAAACAGCAAAAATTATAACCCCAAACTGACCAACTCACCCATCAAGGCAATTTGGGTTGCTATACTGCTAGGAACCTGATTATTACCAATTTACTGACAGAATGTGGAACATAAGAAAACCTGTGATAAAAATGGTTTGGCATATATATTTAATTGGAAAAATGTCTTCATAGAGAAAGTAATTTATCCAGTAGCTTTTTTCTCCTTCTGTTCTCCCTCCTCTTGGTGGGTTCACATATCTGTGTGTGCATCCAGAGGCTAGAGGAGGATGTCTGAAGACTTTCTCCATCTCTCTCTACCTTATGTGAGAGACAGGTCTCTCACTGAACCTGAAGCTTGTTTCAGTTAGGCTGACTGGCCAGTGAGCTCCAGGGCCTGCCTCTCGCCATCTCCCGGCATTAGGGTTATAGGTAAGAAAGGGACATCTGACTTTTATTTTCTTCAAGCTGGTAAAGAACAGCTTTTATTAAGGGCGAAGAAACATAAACATAAAGCAAACACACAGAATACAAGACCTTTCACAAAGCAGAGGAGGGCCTCAGGAAGCTACCGCCCTCATGCCTGGCCTTTATGTGAGTGCTGCAGGTTCAAATTCAGGTCCCTCCTGCTTTTGCAGCAAACATTCCTACGAAGCCACCACCCTAGCCCCCTCCTGGACATAGTTTTAAGGACAAAAACATCTGATTCTATCTGAAACTGCTAAATTTGCAAAGGTTGGTTGGGTCTTCTAAGATAGGCTTAGCCTGTTATGTAACTGTGTGGCATAAAAGAGTGTCTGGTATACACAACAGAAAGCCTAGAGCTGGGTCTCAGGCACATGTCAGCTGCATGACCCTAAAACAACCCTGTAACCCTGTCTCCTTATTTAGAGTGATAATATGTTCTCTATTCAAATAATAAGGTCCCCTGTAAACTATAAAGTTACAAATGTTAGTTCTCTTTCTGAGCTCACTAGCTTATAAAGGCATGAAACTATATACGTCCAGCTCAAGTCTAAAATAAGAACAATATTTACTAAATACTTAACACTGTGGCCATGAGCCACTTCTGGAGTCTTTATACAAATCCTTGACCAGACTACATTCTTGGTTCTCTTAAGGAGATGCTCAAACCTTAACCTCTGCTGTGTAATTTCAATTTAAAGTTTAGTAAAGGAATACCTACAGAGCTTCCACTTATAGACTCACTTCCTGAGAGCCTTGTATTCCTCCCTCTCTGCCCTTTGCTTTACTCAGAGTTATCTGATCGCTTTGGTATTTTTTCCACGGCTAAGGTGGGAAAAGATGAAAAAGCAGAGTTCTCTGCAATCTTTTTGGTGCGGGTGGTGAACTGACTTGGGGGAGGAGGATGGGATAAGCCGCGGAGGCCGGAGAGTTCACCGTAGGTTTTGACTGGACAGTGGAACATCACAATGAATCTCTGCTCAGACCACGCATCATCAGAGAAGCCTGAAGCCAGCACTCGGCCAAGTACCTTCTCCTCATGCCTGCCCCTTACATAGTCTTCTGGCCCCTGCTGACATTGACTAGGATTCTAGTTTCAATCTTATAACTTGATTTTTTTTCACTAAAACATAATTCAGTGTGTTTGAGAACGTTGTTCAAAGGACTATGCCTAGCAGCTGGCTCAGTCACCGGCATGTAGCACTCTCCCATTAGCAACTGAGTAGAGACAGGCCCAACAGTCCCCATGCTGTGCTGAGTGGTTAAAAGACACGCAACTTGCATTTTTAAACATGAAAAAGTGGTTCTAGGAATGGTCGTATATTCCTAAAAGCAGAATATATTTCCTCTCAAGAAACCTCAGCCTTCCAAATTAGTGTGTTTATTGTTTTAGCAGAAAAACGTGAAATTCGGCTATGTACACAACTGTGGTGTCCTTAGCAGCCCTGACCTTAAATGAGAATTTAACTTCAACATAATATGCTAAAAACTTCAACAATGAGCTCATAAACAAATTTTAATGTAGAAATAACCTCTGTGTTCTAGAACACAGGAATGAAAATGGTGTGGGGAAAGCCACTTATAAATCTCACTGCTGACATGTGGTGATGGCACTTCCATAGAGACATAAGATTTTATTTTTAAACATAATTTAAATCAGGGTATGATCTCTTCTAGGAATTAGATTTCCTTACATGAGATAATTGAGAAGAGATAGAATACTATTAGAAAGATTACCCCCTAAGGTATTAGGATATGGCCACTTATTTTAGGTAGATAATTAAGTAGTCCTTAAACTCTGAAATCGAAGAAAAAAATATGTTCTAATTTAAAACAGCTTAAAGAAAAAAATGATGGGTGAGCAGAGAGGATCTGGGAAGTGTTGGGGGAGGGGAAATTGTAATCAGAATATATTTTGTAAAAATGTACTAATATAGTTATAAAGAACTAATAGAAAATACTAGCAAATGCTTAGATAAATCAAACACTTACGTTACCACACAAAATGCTTGAATTTTTTTTTTAAATGGAAGAAGAGAAATAACTTACCTATAGGGTATCCCAAAGCAAAGTCATTACTTTGTGTAGCAAAAATTGGGAACAGTCCCGCCTTGCTAAATCTGCTCTCGGGACTGGCAACCAATAAGGTTAACACACATACAACAAAAAACACAGAGGCTTTGCCAATTAAGATACTGTATAGAAAAGCCCAGTCCACATTGGAAAAATTAAGCACAACCATGTTTTTGAATAATAAAGCTGGAAGGGCAAATCTGGAGACAAAATTTCCCAGTCCTTTGGCCTGTGTTGATGTTATGACATTGGCCCTTCCTGCTATGTAGCCACAAAGGACTATGCCAAAGCACTCTAGTAAGGCTGGGAAAAGCCTGGTTATTGACATCGAAGGTGGGTCATTGGTGGAATTAAATCCATAAGTGGCAGACAAGGTCTCATTTATATTAACATCAAGAGTTGAGTTCTTTGCTGAGAAATAAGAATCCATTTTACTCTTCCCTCCACTTCCAAACTTGTCTCTGCAAAAAAAAGAAAAGAAAATTCAGTGTTGTGACCAACCAGAGTTCAGAATGAAATAGACCACAGCAAACCTGGACTTACTCACTTATTAAATGAACAAATAAGTGTCCATCCTCTCTTCAATCTCCACCAGGAGGAAATACAATTGAAAAGAGGAGGGGGAGGTACCTCACTCTCAAAGGTAGGTCAGCTCAAAATATTTATGTTACCATTCTATTTTTAGAGTCAAATATGGATAAAATAAGATCTGCAAACAATACAGATGAAGTGATGTCCCACGGTTCTCTCCAGGGATCCATAATCCACCTCCATCTAATGGTCAAGAGGAAGAGGCTCACAGTGTGCAAAGGACCCACTTGCACCCAGATTCTCAACAGTAGTCCTCAGGGATAGTTTGAGGAGTCACACTGAAACCCGACGGTCCCTTCCAGCCTATGGTCATGCTAAAGGAGAATGATAGTAGGGTATGACTTACCAGCTTTGAACCCAAAACTTACACGTTTTTGTGCTTCACTTTATCACCTGTGAGGTGCCAATATCAGTATCTGCTTCAAGTAGAGCCCTTACAGTCTAATCACACGGGCACAGAATAATCACTCACCCAAGCTGAGTATAACTTTTGGTGGAGTATGAGGGAGCCTATGAAAAAAATGTTGGGAAAATGTCAGTCCACCAGCCTTCTCTTAGTTCCTTTTATGTAAGCACATGCATTGGCCTACAGTCCCTTGGTGCCACAGGGGACTCTGCACATGGAGTTCCCTCTAAAAGGCTCTCTACCATTTGCACTGCCCACATAATTAGCACCTACCCATCCCCCAAACTCAACCATATGGTTCAGGAATCATTCCATCAGGTGAGGTTTCTTTAATCACACAGTTAGACATGATTTGTTCACAAATAAAATCATGATCCTTTCTTTTGGTCTGTTTTTCTCAGTTTGCTTATCCTAAGGCCTTCAAATGACTGACTTATGCCTGTCTCCTTTACCAGACTTGAAATGTCACAGAAGCAATGTCTCTGCATACTCTTGTATCCCTAATATCTTGTACGACAAGATATTGGTAGAGGAGGCACTAGGGGAAAAAAATCTTAATTCATTAAAAATTTTCATTTAATTCGTTAAATAACAACCTATTCTTAAATCAGCCTGTCTTATATCCATCCCCCTATCTGTTCCCTCTTAGGTACTATCTAGTTCATGAGTGGATTATCTTTCTTTTCTAAATGATAAATGTTTTTCACAGCAGTAATATCCCCCAAAATACAAACTGTATTCTAACATTCTAAAGCTGTTCATGAGATTTTAAAGAGCAAGTTTTGTGTGCTAATGTGGCAACTGCCACACTCCTTTCCTCTTGCTGCCAGAGACGCAATGAGCACAAACTTTAGATAATCCTGAGGTGAACTGGCTTTGATTAGTAATTTGAAATTAATATGATGATAATTGCCAATTTCTAAGTTCTTGTTCTAGGTTTACCATCTAAAGTAGCCTTATATAAGATGGGAGAAAAAGATCTGGTGCAATTTACAATGCCTGGGTTAAGTTCTCAAACACCCACGCCACATTCAAAAGATTTGGGTAGCAAACCAAAGATCAACTAATACACGGGTGCGTAAGAGAATATTCCCTGGGTTGCTCTCTATAAGCCAAACCCTTTAAAAACCTTTTATTTAATTGGGATTAAAACAAGTATTTCCTTTTTTTTTTTAAACCAGGATTAAGCAGGAGTGGTCAAGAGAAACAAATCCTACAATGTTCACATACTTGAACTTTCCAAATAAGCACCAAATTATACTGATATACACAGCCAGGTTCTGGTTGGTACACATAGCCAGGTTTTGGTTGGGATACAAAATCATCCTTGCAGGAGCTGATCAACAATCAGACTTAAGTATTAAAAATTGGAGCCCTTAAGAAATGTGTCCTTAGAAAGGTAGTAGGAAAAGGGGTGAGAAACTTGCCCATCCTTCTGATGCTTTTCCAAAGTTCCCTATATTTCTTTGCTTGAATAACTCACAATCCCCATTTTTCTTTGCTTGGATATCTCACAATCCCATATTTGGACAACATAAGAACAACACTGTATATATATATACATATATATATATATTGCATATATATACATATATATATATCTATGCATGCTCAAACAGCAATTTTAATTAACAATAGTTAAGTGAAAAGTATAGTAGACTTTGAGCCTTAACATCTTAACATCAACTCTTTGGGTCAATTACTTTGCCTCCCTGAGTCAGTTTCCTTAACTGTAAAATGTGTGGGAAAACTAATCCTTAGAGAAACACTGTTTGAAAAGGATGTTCTATGCACAGCTCATCACAGAGTAGACCTTCAAGAAATGGCAGCAATAGACCTAGTGCCAAGTGTGGTGGCCCATGCCGGAAATCCAGTCCTGGGAGACAGAAGTAGGAAGATCAAAAGTTCAAAGGCAACTGGGGCTGCATTGAGACGCTGTCTCAAAAAACAAACAACTAACAAAGAACAAACCAAAGAGAGTGAGAAAGGGAGGCAGAGAGACAGCACACCTAATGATAATGATTAAAATGGTAACAAGGTACGCAGCATTCATTGTCATAAGTAGCTATACAAACGCGCCTGACCTTAAAAATCTTCAATAATAGCCGTACTAGATATCCCACAACATTAACAGTTTAGGATGTGTTATAAAGTTACCAGCCTCGGTATCATACCCAGCAATTAAGAAGAGTTGAATTGAGTTTGATCTTAAGTGGCTATTGACAGTGAACAAAGAGCTCGACAGCGTGATGGCCACGAGGTTTAACAACTCCCAGGTTCAACTTTCAATTAATTGAAAATTAAATGAAACTTTTAAAAGTAACCTGCCCTTTCCCCCTTTTAATTTTTCCAGTGTTATAAACAGTTCCTGAGGCAAATGAAAATTAAAATGACTTCTAGTCTGACACAAATCACACACCTGCAATCCCAGCACTAGGGAGGCAGAGGCAGGAAGACCATGAGTTCAAGCCCAGATACAAAGAAAAGCTAGCCAGAACTTAAAATTAACAGCTGTCGCAAAATAAGGAAGGGAAAAAAAAACTAAAAATAACTCTAAAGTTTTATCTTATACCATTTTAAACATGAAAAAAACAAAATGAAAAACTGCTCCCTAAGCACATTTTAAGATTAACAAGAACCACAACAAAGGAAGTTTAAAAAAATATCATCCAGTCCTTTAATCTACAAAAACAAAGCTTGTTAACAGAACACGTTGACCTATCACCGCAAAAGTCTGTTCACTGGGACAGACACTAGAAAACGACTTATACAAACCGTTTAGTCACATTATATCTGACTTAAATAACAGCACCAAAGCCCTGAAATTGGAGGTTAATTGCTATTAAGTTAAAATGCAGTGCAGTGGTAACTTGAAAGAAAAGGCTTTAAACTGAAGCTGTTCTCTTCTCACACACTAGTATCCTTTCTAAGGGAGAAAAGCCTAATGCCTTGCGGCACTATAAAAGCACTCTTCAACATCAACAGGCTCTCTATTCACTGCCTTTCCCCTTGTCTATCTGCAGGGACAGACTTTGGCCCACCAAGATAAGGAGTGCATAGTCCCTAACCAAATAGATGATCTTGAGGGCAGCTGACACCCGTGGAAGTGGAAAGCCATGAGAGTCACAATGTCAGGTGCTCCGTAAAGAAGTAATGGAGAAAATTTGGCGCAAAGCACCAGAGGTGCTCATGTGGTGCAGATACTAAGGCCACCTTGGGATAAAGTAAAAAGTCCAAGATGACAGTGTGGGCGCACGTGCAACGGGGTACTCCGCACCCTGGGGACCGCAGCTCTGGCACCAGAGGGGACAAGCCGTCCCTTATGAGCAGACCATCTCCAGTGCTCCCGCAGGTTTCAGGCGCAGGCGCTGCGGGGACAGGCGCAGCAGTGAGCCGAGCCGCCAGGGCACCAGAGCCTGGGGCTGCCCACTGGTCCGGATCCCAGGGGCAGGGGCCGTTGCAAGCACAACCGAAGCTCATCTCACCTGCTAGGTCTTCAGCTCCGGCTGCAAGGAGAAGGAAGCCGGTGCTCGCAGAGGGCCAAGCAGCGAGCACACCGCTGTCATCTCCCGCCGGGAGCCCTCTTCTAGTGGCGTGTGCCAGAGGCAGATGCCCAACCACGTTCCCAGAAAGGGAGGGGTGAGCCGCTGCGGTCCTGTCAGCTACCTTAGGCGTCTGCCGCCCGGTACCTCCACCCCGCCTCCGCCCCGCCTTCAGGCCCCGCCCCCGGCCTGGAGGTCAGAGAAGCCGGTCTCCACTCTGCCGTGAGGCCCCGCCCCCAAGCTACGGACATGGCTCCGCCCCACCCAAGGCCCCGCCTCCAGCATGGAGGTCCGCGTTTCGAATCTCCACCCTGCCTTCAGGCCACACCCCCAAGCTTGAGTGTACACTGCGATCCGCCCTAGGACTCTACCCTAGGCTCCGCCCCTGGCCAGAAGGCTCTAATGCGGGTCTCCACCTCGCCTTTAGGCCCCGCCCCCAAGCACAACCACACCGCTCCGCCCCCGGTCCCCG